GATTACTGTGTTCTACCCATTTAGAGTTCTGTTAATTTTTTTTAATTGGTAACATGAGTTGTTTCAGGGGGTACGGCTGTAGTGTATTTGCCAATTTATACATCGACAAATGTTTAATGTTTAAGGTTTTGGGGGATATAGCTGTAGAAAATTTTTATTCCTCTTGTTCAATTTGTATAAACCTATTGCTAATCCATAAGGGACTTAATCTCAGTACAGTCATGCCAAACGTCGACAGTTCACTAACTACCTTATACAGGTGGGAAGTATTCCTTAGATGCCACTGTTTTATTGCATTTTTTAGTTTTAAAATTATTATGAATCATTTTATACAATTATAATTTTATATTTTGTATACTATAACACTAGATACATGATATATTAAAAGATTTTAAAATATTTTTGTCAAAATGCAGAGAAGTATGCAGTAGCTAGTTATTCTGACCATCTTCCTTCTAGTCCTAGCTAAAGGAAACGGTTGCTGTTTTTAAACAAAAGCGTTTTGGAGACAGTATTATGTTTGGTGCCTTGATATATATATAAAATCAAATAACTTTACTACCTCTATTATAATTCTAATCTTTGAATGTTATTATGTTTAGGAAATGATGCTGTCTTACCTCTGCTTTTTAAATTGGGACATGCTAATAGTTACTAGTATGTTCCTGCAAGAAGACACTGTATGTCATTAAGATGTTCTATTATGTTTTATTTGTGTTTTTTATACTGGCCGAATGGCTGTAATAAAATCAATCAAAGGAAAAACCTGGACCTGATTCACCATGCCACTCTCATATAAGCTTACCAGTTGTCACTCAATTTAGTATTTTACACTTTGAACAGTGTAAGTATTTTACACTTTGAACTTACTGATTCAGTAAGAATCAGGCATAAAGTTATGTCACATTATTCATGATTGCCAACCAACTTGGTATTAAATTCAGTTAGGGAGAATCAGGTTATCCAGATCTATGGAACTCCCTTTCAATTAATATTCATTTAAATGTTTTGATATAGGTCAGTAATAATGATGTAATCATCATGTATTGTCTTACTCAAGACAATGGATATTTGTGTGACTTTGGCTACTACCACACCACAGAATTAATGCAGCTTGACAATGCATTAACTGTCATAGCTCCAGCCTGTGGAATCCTGGGATTAGTTAGTTTGTTGTGGCACCAGAGTTCTCTGACAGAGAACACTAAATATCTCCCAAAACTAAAAATCCCCAGATTCCACAGCATTAAGCCATGGCAAGCAGTGAAAAACTCTATTAATTCTGCAGTGTAGATGTAGTTGTTGAGCAATTTTCTCATATATGCATTTGCTTACACGACTTTAAGACACCATTCTTTCATTCTTTTGTTAATTACTTTCTGAGGACTCCGTAGAGCTTGGAAAGATACTTTTAAAACCAACTAATATAATGATGTGCTGAAGTCATCCATAACTAAACAGGGATATGTAGAATACCAGAATATCAGCATCCCTATGCGCATTTACAGATGACTTCAGCATATAATTGTATTCATTAAATGTAACTTTACTTTCAAAGTAAACATGTATAGGACTGCTACTAGGAATGGAAAGAATGTTCAAAAATGTGCAGAAAATAGTCAGAAAATACATTTCTCAAGTGTCAAGAAATCCTGATAAGGAGAAACTTGGATTTATGTAAATCTTCACAGTTGGGACTTATGCACAAAATTTGCACATTTTTAACTTTTTCACAGAAAACAGCATATTCGCACTTAAAACATTTTCTGAGCAGAAAGTAATATGCATAGAATTATTATTTTCTGTACAGAAACTGCTGTTCCCTTTCAGAAACTGCTGTTTCCTGCATAGAAATACCATGTGTGAGTTTAGTGCAAAATATGTTCTGAACTGTGTATAATCTTGAAAAACTGTTTTTAAAGACTTTCTTTTAGCAGGAAGAAAATTGATAATATTTGTTGTTGTTTTCTTTGAGAACAAAATTAGTGAAAAATTATGCCTCTAATGTTAACACAAGTCACATTCTGCTGCTCCCATTGATTGGTTTTAGCTACTGTTAACTTTTTCTAGAATTATGCACAATAATGCTATTTTATTTGGTATTTATTAATAAAATAACAAAATAATAGGCAGCCCCCCCCAAAGGAAAGATATAGAGAAAGAGCAAAAATAAAAAGTATGTTAAGAAGTTACAAAAATGTATCACAAATGACACATTATTTATGTCATTTTAATATCTTGGGAACATATGACCCTTCCTTACACATAGACAGATCTTTGGTCCACCTCAACCCAATACTGTCTATTTCACTGAAGACATCTTTCCAGAATTTAGGATTTCAAGCTGCTCTACAGTGTAATTGGTGCAAACCATTAAAAAAAAAAACAAACACCCCACCACTCAATTCCTATCTCAACCCTAAGCTCTGATAACTCAGTTTACATATTGTCCATTAGCAAATACAGATGTTCAGAAACTAACATTTGCATTTCACACCCAAATGTTCTGCCTTTCAATCTACAAATTGCCATTTTTTAACACTTGTTCTAAATCTCTTTGTTAACATGCCTTTGGCTTACT